GGGGGGGGTCCCGTGATGTACTCTTAATAAACAGATTTTACAGGTATGGAAAAACATCCTGTTTTCTATACTGTACAGAACAGGACACAGAGAGTTCACTCTGGAACCAATGGGACATTCAAAAGCAGTCCAACAGAGGGGTGGCCAATACAACAGACAATAGCTAACAGGCTGTGAAGAAAATAAACCCCCAACAGGGAACAATAACAAAAGGAGCCCATTCAGATGATCATCTACAGACCTTGGAAATGGAAGCTGGCATCCACTCCACAGAGGCCTGATTGTCCATCAGCATGCACCATCCCATCTTCACTCTACCAGTAGGCATATTCCCATGTGTTCAGGGACATGGAATAAGAGTGTTGGACCGTGGACCAAAACACCCTGTGGCTACTTCGCACATTGCACTTTCTTCCAAAGCAAGTGCCCCATGCAGGAGCCTGTGCCCTGAGCACATTACAAGCTGGCCCCATATCTTCTTTCTAGCAGGTTCAGGATACAGTATGAAACTGATCTGGATAGCAGCTGAAAGGCTTCTCAGTAGATGCAAACAGCCTAGAAAAAAACTTGCATAGAAGAGTCTTGAAGCTGAAAAGTAAAGAATGGGGTCGTCCTCACAGCTTTGATTTGCCAGTGTCCAATCATCTGAAGGCAGCTGCATAACAAATTGATTCCAGAAGTAACTCTCTGTGTCCTGTGATGTACTATCAAGAAAATCCCTAATTCAATGTCTATTTGCCTTTTATGCACTTCTACATATGTGGCCCATTATATAGATATAATCACATTTTTTAATTACCTAGTAATAGTAAGGCAGTAACGAGATTACCATTGACCTTTACTAGATCTAGATCAATGCTTGAGGAAAAACAAAATGAATATGACTGTATACCCTTGTCTATGTGATAGCATACAGTACATGCACAATGCTTACAATTATTGATGAAGTGTAAAGATTTTGATCAGCAGCCTTCATCTGAATGCACACAGCACCAATACATTCTCTAATAAATTGGGGAAACAATTATAGGTATGTTGTACTGCAGATAGAGGACTGGGGAATCAGTGATTGGAATTAATTATAATGACATAATCTCTCCTTATGACCTTGTAAACATCTTGATTTTCAATGATGCAAGCATCAGAATTAGATATTTCTGTCAACAAAAGCTCGGGATGTCTGCAGAATCTCAGGCAAGTAACAACAGATTTGAAAAAAAAGAGAAATGCACAGTATGTGCAGGAAATATTATGCGTGTTTTTACACTGAAAACTTTATCAACACCCCCTACTTTGTAAATGCAAACATTTATTTTGTTACCAAAATGAGAAAATGCTAAACCCATGAATATGGTTTGCAGAAATAAATAACCGCTTGCCATGCCTTGTCTGGACTTTTTGCTTTGATGAGCCTTTATAACAGTTGTCTTTCGAAAGTGCACATATATGTAATGCAAGGTAATGTGACAGCTGTCAGGGGCTGCGACAGGTAAGAAGAGTACAACAATTTTACTCCATCCATTTTGATGAAAAGTAATATTCTAAATGTACAACATTGTATATAGATTTAAATGTAATATATACATTTATTTATATCATAGTCTCTTCTTAAACTACCATAAAACTACTTTACATTCAGATAGATTATTCACTAGAAATGACTGACAAATAACATCTCATCAACAAGGTGTCTACTTTCCATCATATGGAAAACTCAACGTTACAAATCTTAATTTACAATGTTAGATGACATATCTGTTATGGCATTTTTCCAGCAACAAATTGTGTTATATTATGGTATTATGTAAAAACATATCACTGTATCATACATGTATCAATGTACGTACAACTTGTACGTGTAGCTCATATGATTTGAGTTCCTCTTAGGAGAAGAGCGGCTCCAGGGGATAGTAAATTTCAAGCATTATTTAGGCTGGGCACAAAATTCCTCACAGTACACATTTGTTACTTTCCATATTATATGTCTCAATACCTTCAGATTCATTCAGCATTAGTGTTGATAGAGTTGGTGATAGTTTGGGAGGTATCATTTATGAAGCCAGAAGCCTATATATATTCCACATATAATATGGACTATATATGGCTTCATAAATGATATCTCCCAAACTATCAACAACTCTATCAAGACTAACTAATGCTGAATGAATTTGAAGGTACTGAGTCAACTACTCCTTTCCACTTTTGAAGGAAGCAGAAGGTAATTTAAAGGAGGCGATGATCAGTGTGCTCTATAGTAGTTGCTTGAATTATTTAGCTGACAGTAAACTATTAGTGATCTAGCTGGCACCAAGACAGTACCATAAGTGTGGCAATGGAGCATGTGAAATTACATTAAGCAGCTGGTATAGCAATTGCCACCTAGGGCTCTTGTTTGATAAAAACTGGCACCTCATTAAAGTAGATAAAATCACTCAGCAAACATATGTATTAAGCATTGCTATAAAAGTGGCATGTTGAACACTGCACATCCAAAATAAGTAAAAACAAAAAAGGACAAAAATCACACTGAAAACAATTTTTAAATATTTATATTTCTCCTTTAAAGATGACTAAGTAACCAGCAATAAAGACGCATGACATCAGCATGAAGAGTGAAGCCATCAAAAAATACCTATTCATCCATGGTAAGCCAATCCTACAAAGAACCATTCACACAAGTCCCTGTCCTTTTGGATTATACAACAGAACGTCCACCATTCACACACGCTTTGGCCATTTGTTAACTAAACAGCCATGCATGTATTCTGAAGAGTGGTATAATGCAATCTCCTGCAGGAAACCAACACAACCACAGGGAAAAAACATACACGTGTCTTGCATATGATTCTGGTGGTATTTAAACCCAATCCAATGCACTTTGCCCTTCTTTCTTGAAGCTAGTTAAGTAGCTACCATTCAGCGCAAAGGCGACCCTAAATATCCTTCAAAAACATGTCGATATTTTCTGTGATTTCATTAATTATGCAGGCGTCTTTACCATGTGAAGAAAAACAAATATAACCAACTATCTCACTCCAACAGCTTAAAGAGACAATCTCCACATTCCTATCAGTCCATGATGTCTAAATGACCAATAGGAATATGCAGGCAAACTTCGACATTATCAGGAAGTGCTCAAGCTTTGCCAGAAGAGTCTGGCATGTCATTATTAAAGGATTGTTAAACATCAGGTAATCATTATGGAGATAGGGTAGTGATTTAAAGCAATTCTATTTTGGATGGCAGGGGCGAAGGGCAACCTATGACAAACTATACCTAAAAGGAAAGCTTTCCTTAGAAAACATGAAGGCTGCCATTGCAGACTTTTTCCCCCCGCAAATGCCAGTTATCTGTCTGTTATACTGGCCTTCTCCTTTACCATTTTATTATTATACAGGATTTATATAGCGCCAACAGATTGCGCAGCGCTTTACAATATAAGGAAGATATTACAATCACAATACAATTCAAGACAAGATGGTAAGGAGGGCCCTGCCCCTGAGGGCTTACAATCTAAAAGGGATGGGGAAGTGATACATGAGGAGGGAGCTGCGTGGGCATGAATTGTTTGAGAACGTGATGGTTGAGCGGTTAGGTTGAGGTGGGATTGGCTTCCCTGAAGAGATGAGTCTTTAGTGACCGCCTAAAGGCAGTCAAGGTGGGCGACAGACGGACAGGTTGGGGCAAAGAATTCCAGAGGATGGGAGAGACTCTAGAGAAGTTCTGGAGGCGAGCA